CAACAAACAATCCTTGAACTAACTTCAAGCTTTTCTTTCTTGTGCTTTGTTTGGGGTTTGTTTTTGTCATTGGTTTGTTGTTCTTGTTTTGTTGTATATTGTTGCTTGGTTTTGCTCTGTCTTGTTTTTGTGCATGTTATTTATATATGAGCACAGTCTTGGTTTTCAAGAATGACAGTCAGCCACACCTGTATTTAGCACAGAATTCGTCACAATAGCTCCCTCCCCTACCTAAAAAAATGCGGTACATTCCTCAGTGGAATCCTGCACCTCATAAAGAACAACGATGAGCCCCGGATGGATCTGGAAGTCATCACAGTGGATGAGCTAAGTCAATTACATGAAGATACCCATTTTGTAAGAAGATAAGGACGTTCATACAGAGACCAATGTTCACTGGTGGTTACTAGTGACAGGCATGGGGGAGGGGGGGGGGACATCATTCTTTTGCGTGTAGACATGTGTTGTTTTGGGTGAGGGGAAAAGTCACAGTTTGTCCAAAGTAAGCGATGCCATGAAGAAGTGCGCGAGAAAGAATGGATGCTCATGCTAAAGAATATGATGTACGTAATTTAGGAGCACCACCTATAACAGCCCAAAACTCAGCGGAAGGTAACATAGGTGTTCAAGCATACATGTGAGTGGGCAGGTACAGGTGAGTATGCATGTGTATACAGAAACAAGTATCTGTGTTAATATGTATGTACAGATTGTGTGTGATTGCAAATATGTTCAGCGAGAAGATGGTCACAGATACTTCTCAGATATAAGCCAACATCTTGTGAGAATGGTTTTCTTAATTTGAAGGTTTAGGGCAACTCAGTCAAATGCCAAAGCTCATATTCTGCATCCTAGTGAGATGAGTAACATCTGAGTCTTAAAACCTCATGAGCAGCCACTGGAGATACAACTATTGGTCACTTCTTGCTAAGAGCAAAAACAAGAAAATCAAAGTTCCGGAGAAGAAACTGGAGAATGAATAGCCAACTTGAACCAAAGCTTCATCTACCCCAAGACAAGAACTAGGTGGTGCCTGGCTACAATCACCAGTG